ACATACAAGTATGGGAACAGAGATTGATTCATGTTTTACTGCATTACATCATATGATGGTGGAAGCAATATTAGGAATTTATGAGTAACTTCACATATATATGAACAAATTTAGAAATATATATACCTTTTGTATATGTATGAATTAGTATATGGACATAATTTTTGTGTTATGTTGCATAGAAAATATAAAATCAACAGACTCCTAGTAGAAATGAATGCAAATCTTTCCCAGATCTTTGTTTCTAATATCATTCATGAAAAAGGTACTATAATTTTTTTGAAGAAATAGTAAATATTGAGCATGAAAAGCAATCAACACAAGTAAACTGGAACACTTTTTAGCACCAGAAAGTTCGAAGTTGTTAAACAACAACAGAACCAACCAACAAACTCTACAAAAATATGAAACTCTATTCATGTGGGAATTTCAAAATTTCAAAATGATAACAGAGCCAACTAAAAGAACTTTTAATGGATAACAATGAAATAAGTTAACAAAAAAAATTTAGTATAAATATAGTATAAGTAGTTATCAATGATTTTATATAATATCCCATATGATATAAATAACTTACTGACTAAACATGTAAGTATTAGAGTATAGGTAAGTTGCAGATGACAAAGAAAGATAAATGATATTTTATAAGTTCTGCCAATAAGGCATTGGAACATAATTTCCACTTCCTAAGAGGTGACACCATTAAGAGGTGATTGGGTCATGAAGACTATGCTTTTATGAATGGATTAATCCATTCATGAATTAACTGGTTAATGACTTAATAGTTTAATAGATTAATGGGCCATTGTGAGAGTGGGACTGTTGTCTTCACAGCAAGAGGGAGCAAATGATTTCAGCCATGTGATGCCCTGCAATGACTGGAAACTCTGTTGGGAGTTCCCATAGGTGAGAAGGCCCTGGCTTGGCGTGACCACTTGACCATGACAGGTAACAATCATTATGAATATAATGTAAAAGATGATGTTTGGTAGAATAAGCTCAAATAACACATGTTACCATTTGAAACAGGATTAAATAAAAAGGTTTTCATGAAAATATCAGAGAGATGTAAGAGGACATGTCGATACAGATACATGCATGTGTGTGTGTTCATAGACAAATGTCTCCACTGGATGGCCTGCTCTTCCTGCTTCTGTAATCTTCACATATTATTGATCCCTAAGGTTCATCAAATCCACTGCCCTCTTCTCATGCCCTGGCCTGTGCCATGGACACACTTTTCCCTGTTCTCTTTCCTTCCCCTGTTCACTTGACTGACACACTACTCACTGCTCCTCACTCTCCAGACTCTCCTCCCGTGTTCCTCCTCCTAGAGGCTTTCCTTGTCCATCCCATTCCAGCTCTGATGCTCATCCTCTGAGTTCCCAATGCAGCCCTTATACCTAGAGTTTAGTTTGTGTGAAGCTTTCTGAATCCCCACTGGACTGTGTCTCAGAAAATTTGATAATTTTGTGCTGTTCCCCTGTAAGCCCTCCATTCAGTAAACAAAGAGCAACACAGAAGATTCTTCTTATAATATATTTTACTACTGAATAGTGAACTTCTCTAATTTCTCACCTACATTCTTTTTAAATCTGAAGAGGGCTTGAACTCTAAGATGAACATGCTTCCCTTGATCCCTTCTATTCTCAGGACAGGATGTAAATCCTGACTTTCTCTCAGCCTCTTATTCAACCTATTCTCAATCCATTGTGAAGACTCTCTCAAGGCCCATGCTGCTTCTATTTATTATGTGCCTCTTTTTTTCTCCTGGACACTGTTGTCCTCTTAGACTAAATAAAACCTTTTTTTCCCCACAAAGATTAAGTTAATATGACTCCCTTAAAAATACTTCCAAATCTTTATTAGTTACCATAATTCACCTGTTTTTCAAATTTGATCACAATTACTGTTAGCCTTGTGTGAGCTATGACATGGTTTTCATTGTCTGTATACAGATTAATATATCCTGACACTTTCTGTCCTAACCTTCTTGTAAGTTCACTTAAAACATAACTTGCAGAGTGTGTATCAACAAGAAAGGTGAAAATCACACAGACAATGATGCAGCTATTTTAATAGAAACTTTATTATCATAATTCTTCATGTAACATGGAGTGATTTTATGATATCTACAACTCTAGATCATATCTAATTCAGAGCAATCAAGATCAAATATAGTTGTTTTTGAACTGATTTATAAATCAATTTCAATATTGTTTTCATTTTTATATTTAAAAACCAGTGCATTTAAAATACTAAAATGATTGTTTCAATAAGTGAAATAAGTCTACTATATGTGTAATAATAGAGTTGACAGAGAGATTATCCTTTCTTTTATATCCTTTTTAAAACTTTTGTTCACTTCTGATTAGCCCTAGTTCCACAAATGCCTCCTGATTTCTACTGTATTTACTATCCCTAGTGTTAAGAGCATACACTCTTGCTTTTAGAGCAAAGCAACCTTGATGTTATCACACAAATTATAGGCTATAATGCATGTAGCATTCTTTCCTGTTCTGGAGGGTTGCCTTTCATGATCTTGTGGAGCACATATACTCCTTCTCTATAGTATGTAAGCCCTGTGCCTGGGGAGTAACTCTGTGGAAATCTGTGTTGCAACCATCCAAGATCACACTTCTGTCTGTAAGTGTCTCAATAAACCACCCAAAATCATCAACAACAACAAAAACTTTTGTTCATTGTCCTGCAGTGAATTCCCCACAATGAGATTCCTACACACACAGGGCATTGTCCAATTCTGACCTTCCATTTACTGTTACAGATGCCAGTTCACTTGTCTGTCTTTCCCTCTGAGTTTGACTCACATTTTTCTTCATTTATCTTACATTGCCTCTTAGCACTATACATCCATGGGTACAGTGACAATTTAGTATTTAAAGAAGAATGAAAAAAAAGTTGCAGAAAAACTAGTAGGAATTAGATATGCCTTACTACATGTTAAAACAAAGAATTGGCAAATTACATAAAACAATGGTTTGCAAGGCAGTGTATATCAATCCACGAAGGACAATGATACCTGAGAGACAGAAAACAATGACAGGAACTTTACTATTGCCTCAGGATATGGCTTTGAGAGAGTTTCCAAGCTGCAGTGTGGCATGGATATTGGTAAACACACTGAGGTGAGAAGATTGAACTAAAAATCTGGAGAATCTGTGGCTGAATTTCATCAAGGCATATTCCATGCTTAGTGGTAAGAATGGGGAAGAACATTCATGCCAGTGCCTATGAGGACAGATGGTGATGCCACCATTTCACACTAAGACATGGCTCACAGAAGTAAGGAGCAGTGCAGAAAAAAATGTGAAGACATAAGTAAAAGTCATTTGAATGGATGCGGTCTTTAATGCTTCCATTTTATTATGATTGCAAAAGAGAGAGGTCTTTATATTATACAAAAATATTACAAGTTCAAAGAAGGAATACTTTTTTAGAGATGGAGCACACAATGTGTATAAGCAGGTTTAATCACCCCATGTAGATACCAACCTACCATTCCTATGTTAACTTGTGTGTGACTGATAAACTTGCTATATTATAAAATAGTTAAAGTAGATCTACTATTTATAAGAGCAGAAAAAGGCATCACCAAAACAAGGAGAAACCAAGTGAAAAAGTTTTTTACATCTATTTGTTTTCCCTAAAAAAAATCACCATTTTTATTTGAATTGGGAGAAAAAATTGTCTGTGTTCTTTACTACATAAATGCCATGGGTGTTGTCATTTGTGTGGAGTATAGGATTGTTCTTTATACACAATGAAACTAAGTTAATTGTGCAAGGTTGTTATTTAATAATTCAAGGATACTTTCTTATTAAACCAAGATCTGGTATGGACATTTTCTGTGTACAGCATTGAAGCTCAGAGACCCAGATTTCAGCCTTATCTGGCAAACAAATGTAAATGTCCTACTATTAATTTGGATTAAAATTATGCATGAAATATTAGTATTCTTTCTCACTTTGTTGCTCACATCTCACAAACCTTGAGTAAATATCCCCAAGAGGTTCTCTCAAAAATATATATACTCTCTTAGATTGGGGATTTTCTCACATACATAGTAGATATATGCTATTGAGTCCCAGAGACATACCCCATAGAAACATTCCCTCACTAGAGAATGTATTTCTCTCAAAACTGTCATGTTGACATTAGGGTCCTCCATGTTGCAAACCATAGATAAATCCTACTTTGCTTGTTGGAGTTCTATTTTTCTTCTTTTTAACCTCTTCTTGCTTTTGTGACTCTTGGAGGTTTTACATGAGAAAATCTGTTTCAACTAAAGTTGAGAAATTCCATTTTCACTAGCCAGGACACTTGGTCATCTCTTCATATACAAACTATGTCAAAGGAGTGCAAAGGTTAAGCTCAAAACAATGGACATCAGTGGATCAGCTTAATAATAGGAAGGTGGGTAAATCATTGAGTATATCAACAAAAATGAATGTTTAAAAAAATCAGAAGAATGAAAACCATTTTTAAAATGGTATAATATATAAGAAAAGAAAATAAATAAAATATTGCAATTCCTTTATAAGCTAGCATTGCAGAAATACATGCTGACTAGAGCACATGTATGCACACATTATCTAAATGGTCCTATTTTATATTACCACAAACTGAAAGTAATTTCATTGATCATTTATCAAAAAAAAAGAGAAGACAGATCTTCATTATGAGTGATGTGTGCAAGAAAACGTGATATGCACATTTATGAAAATGATATGGGAAGAATTATGAATTCCAACCAATGTTTACAGTTATCGAATAATCATGAAATCAAAGAACATAATAAAGTTCATATTTGCACAGTAATAAAATGGCTGATCTCTGCATTCAAAATGGGATTGTTAGTTTTCTGCCTACACATGTTCATGCCTTTGTGAATACTTCACAAATAGAGCAAAACAAGTTTAGAATGAATACAATCATAGTCTTTTAAAGTGTAAGATTTTGAGGTTTTTTCGTTGTTGTTACAGCTCCCAGAATAGTTTTCATTCTTCTTATGTTCAACAAAAGCTATGTCAGAAGAAATTTCTGAAAACACAATAAGAGAGAATGTGTAATATTTGTCTTTTTCATTCAATTCAGGAAATAAAGATTGTGAAAATATCAAAATAACTGAAATGGTTATTTGAAAACAATTATAAATACATTTTAAAACAGATGAATGAAAGGCCTTAATATACATTAGAAAAATGTGAATGTGTTTATAGATAAAATTTATGTCATTAAAAAGACAAAATGTATACTAAAGGTTTAAAGACATTGATGCACCAAACAAAAACCAGTAAGTAATATTACAGTGCAGGCACTGAAGTGGTGAAGTCTCACTGGTCAGCAAGCAAAATTAAGGCAGGGACAGCTAGCATAATTTAGATAAGTTAGAAAAGTTAAGGAACAGGATGGACAGCATATAGATGCTTTCTTATCAGATCACAACTCTATAAGCAATCATCTTGCAGACCAGACATACCAGTCCTAACCTTGGAATGAGGGGCACTTTGCACAATCAATTACATAGACAATAATCAGAGGCAATAGGGAGTTATTGGAGACACTGTGGCATAGCACACTAAGTGAAAACAGAATTAAACAATAACTTTTCTCATTGTCTTAAGAATTATTTGTGATGCATGTCAGTTTAAGAGTTAAACACTAAGAATTGAAACTTGTTATCAATAGCTTGTTGTAACCTACATAGCCCACAATTTTAACTTAGGAAATAGTTGGCTTAATTATTGTTTTGGACAATATATACTGCCTTCTGCTAACAGCAAGCCTGAGTCTGTTCCCTTAAGGCATCCACATTCTCTATTGAGCATGTCTTGTATTTTAAAAACTTTACTTTGGACTCTCTCTGAAATTATTTTCTGTGACAAACTCAAGAATCCACAGAGCAACTATTCCCCATGGCACCAAATATCAAAATAATTTTTTAAATAAACTAAATCTCAGTCCATGAATCTGGTTAAAAAATTAAAAACGTCTCTATCTTATACAAGATAGCTGAATTTGCAACCAGCCTCACAGGGAGAGCAGAGAGCTGCCCTTGTGCATGTAAACCCCACAAAGATGTTCTGAACTCCGAGGCTTCCACTATGGTCCCTCCCATGATGGACACAGTCTGAAAGAAGGGGAGGACCATGTTCATAGTGTCTTACAGACCACAGCAAGAGGTACCTATGCTACATCTCCAGGCTTTCACCACCAATGTCTGTTGTTGAAGGTATTAAATATATAAAGTGCAAATGGTGTGGAAGAGATTGCCTAAAGTTTTTAATGACATTTGAAATGTAAGAGACAATAGAAGCATTCTAAAGTTCTAAACCTACTATTTAATTCAAGATTCAGCTAGGAATATTGATGTAGATACAAGGAACGCAGTTTTTCACTCTATTTCCTTCATTACAAAATAGCACAGTAGGTAAAAGAATGGGATATTGAGGGAAATTTCCTATGTGAAATAAAGTATCCTTATAACTAAGAAAATGTGTCATTTGCAAAAATACAGAGAAAACGAATGGGGGAAAAACAGAGTTGAAAAATCAGACATATACATGTACAAAAATATAATTTATACATGACTGAATGAAGAAAGGTGGATTTTTATTCAAAAAAATATAGTATTGAATATCCATGAAGGGGAGTTAAAAATCTAACCTTTGGCCGGGCTCAGTGGCTCAGCCTGTAATCCCAGCACTTTGGGAGGCCGAGGTGAGTGGATTGCCTGAGCCCGGGGGTTTGAGACCCGCCTGGGCAACTTGGCGAGACCTCATCTCCACTATAAATCAAACACTAGCCGGGTGTGTAGCGTGCGCCTGTAGTTTCAGCTACTTGGAAGGCTGAGGCGGAAGGATCGCCGGAGCCCAAGCAGGTCGAGGCTGTAGTGGCCGGGAGCGGCCATTGCACTCCAGTCTGGGTGATAGAGTTGAGACTCCAACTCAAAGCAAAACAAACGAGCAAAAAAAATCTAACCTTTGACCTCACAATACACACAGAATTAACTCCAGGGAGATAATGAACCTATATATAAAAATATGTACTATACTATGTAGGACACAGTTTTAAAAAAACTTCATATCCATTGTGTAGGGTAAGATATCTTATTTTCAGATATATGCAACTAGAACTAGGAAGTATTTAACATATATGATTTTTGAGAAAACATCATGCTATTTTCTATAATGGATGTACAAAAATGCATACCCATCAGCAGTATATAAGAATTTCCTGAGCCGGACTCGGTGGCTCAGCCTGTGATCCCACGCCTTTGGGAGGCTGAGGTGAATGAATTGGCTGAGCCCGTGGGTTCGAGACCCGCCTGGGCAGCGAGACCTCATCTCCACAATAAATCAAAAAATCAGCCGGGCGTGGTAGCGCGTGCCTGTAACTCCAGCTACTTGGAAGGCTGAGGCGGAAGGATTGCTAGAGCCCAGCAGGTCGAGGCTGCGGTGGCCAGGAGCGGCCACTGCACTCCAGTCTGGGCGACAGAGTGAGACTCCAACTCAAAAAAAAAAAAAAAAAAAGAATTTCTTCTTCTCCATCATGTTTTCCATAATGGCTACACTAATACACATTTCTACCAACAGTGTATCAGAGTTTCGTTTCCTCTCCATCCTCAACATCATTTGTAATTCTTTATCTTTTTGATTATAGCCATTCTAATGAGGATGAAATAATATTTCATTGTGGTTTTGATTTGCATTTTTCTGATGATTAGTGACGTTGAATATTTTTCCATATATTTGTTGGAAATTTGTATGTCTTCTCTCGAGAAATATCTATGGAAATCATTTGCAACTTTTTAATGACCCAACAGAGAGAAGAGACAACATGTCTAATAAAAGAAAATACTTACAAATTATCCTTCTGACAAGGAACTAGTATTCAGTATATTGAGGAACTCAACTCAACAGAAAAACAATGGCATAATGGCATAATTTTGAGAATTTTTGTGGGTAGGCCTACCTCTAATAAAATCTGGTGTTTAGTAGTCTGTGGGACATCATATCGTCCATGTTGTCAGAGAGTAACATTGGTGGTCTCTGTGCACAGCACTGTGTCTTCTGTGCCTGTGATAATATGTTAGCATGCTTTTGTGTCTAACAAATGTTTTATTTTAACCCTGAGCACTCAGAGATTACTGACTTCTGATATGCCATGTTCAGATGGTTCCCTCCTTGTTCAGATCTACTTGTGACTCATGCATAGCCTGCGACTCTGCCTTTTCTTTCTTCCTAATTTGGTAAGGCATGATATTCTCCATCACTGTAAATTAGAAAATATGCATTGAAATTTAGAAGAAAGGGGACTTGACAAGTCGTTTAAGTATTAAAATATATTCAGTTAAAAGGAAATAAATGAAATAACCCTCCATGTGTCAAGATGTGATATTTAAATGAGGTTGTCATGTGTCAGGGAGTGAAATATGAACTAGGAGGAGATAGATTTTCTGAATTACAGATGTTCAAATAACACTACCTAAATAGTTCTTAGCCTGATTTCAGAAATGAGAAATGTTGTCAAGATCAGTTACATCTCTCATTCCAAGTTTTCAGGCCACAGGAGCTCATTTTCTCACTGAAGCTGTGACTATGATGTGGAGAATATACCCGATGATTATAGACCACACAACTAGAGCCTTGACTTTGTGTGTCTTGACACACCGTGTAGTTTGAAGTCCTATGGCCTTTTAGGTTTGTAGACATGGTTACAGGACACAAGCCTGGTGCTACCAAGCAGAGTTCTGCGATTTGTGTGACCAGGGATCTGTGTGAGGAATGAGTGGACAGTTTATTCTGCTATGGGATTTTTTTGTTTGGACAGTACACATGCAGGAGTATCATTCAACATGTGTCCATCCCTTAGAGTAATTCATGATGAGTTGGGGATATTTTATATACTGCTTATTTTTTGTTTATTCTACTTTTTGAATAAATTGCAAAAAACTATGGGATGGGAGAGAAACAGAGTCAGTTGCCTTTATATTTACTCTCTTTCTTAGTGTTACTGTTTAACAAAATGAATCTCCTTTGTGAAATAGTAAAGATTTTGGTTTCCAAAATCTTTGAATTTTCATTTTGGCTAAATAAATCACTTAATATACCTTAATATGACCTGTGATCCTATTTTATGACATCATGTGTTTAAACCTTTGATATCTGACGAAACTTCCCACATCAAAATTTCACATCTTGAACTCCATCTCCTTGACTTCACTAATTTTAGATACGATGGCTTCCTGATATCAAAGAGATATATTTGGCTGATTTGGTATGTTGCAATTACACAGGAAACACTCTCAAATATGAAAATGTATTAATTTTTTGCCTTATATTTATGTGTTAGTATGTGTTACAAAATTGTATGACATTTCTATAACTCTGATGTGTTACTATATTTTATCAGTAGTAATAATACTACATTAAGTTGTTACATGCCACAGATTAATCAAGTTTTCTTGTTAATTCTGTCTTTGACCAAATTTAAGACTCTTGTTATCCACAATGTTTTTGGCTTTGATTCTTTTCAAAAGGTTGTTTATAATCAACTATAAGAATCTGACTGGTGTTCTTCAAAGCAAATGTCTAATATCTTTGGAGATTGTGCCACTGGACTAGGCAAAAGACTTCCAGGACTGTTTTTATTAGAGAGTTTATATTGCATTCATGTGGATTGCTGATATAATGTAGAGCAGAACAAGGGTTAGTAGTGATTTAGCCTGGACCAATAAACCAGCTGCTGTCCCTTGCAGGTCAATTTGATGAGAGGCAGAGAGCTGGGAGAAGAAAAGATTTTATTCTGAATCCCAGAGAACAGGGGCTTGGCCAAAAAAACCCTGTTCATTTAAGCAAAGTTTTCATCTAGTATTATAGTAAGAAACACAATTTCTTATCTTTCACTATTGATTAACATCGGCTACATGTCTTGTGATCATTTCTCAGTTTCCCTCTTGATCAACATTTACATGACTTGTGATCATTACTCAGTCTCATTTCAATATAAAATTATTAATGACATACCCCAGTATTTAGATAACGTTGTTATTCCTTGAAGTCACAACTTTGCACAAGGTAAGGCTGCCATAATTTCCAGGTGACTGCTTCTTTCCAGAGGACTACATATTAACCCATACCAGGGAGTTCTGGTTTTCAAAGCCTACCTGTTAACTGATAATTAACATAGAATATAAATCAATACAATGTATAAGAGAGGGTGATAATTATCTAAGGGTTTTAGGGAGTTTCTGTGAGGCTTATCCGTTGTCTAAGTCTGGTGGATCTTCTTTCAAAGATATACAGATTTCTGTACCCCTCCTTCTCCATGAGAGATAAGCTTAGTATTTTAATTGTCCAAGAAGAGGCTTGGATTTTTCAAGGGCAGTGAGGAGAAGAAGAAGAAAAAAAAATGTGCATTTTAAAATTCAAACTACTCTTGTGGGTTCCAAATTAATTTTAAGTATAAAACTAATAAAGATATATACACGTATGTATGTATATATATATATTTGTAAAGTATGTGTAAAGGCATATATATATTTTATATATATTATTTTTTCTGGCTTATTACAATTGCATGGAATGACTAATAAAAGACTTAGGTAGCTTTTATGAGCTTGTTTGAAACATTGATCATTCCTTTTGTTTTGTCTTTTAGAGTCAAGAAGGCATCTTCTTTTGAGTTCATAACTGCTTTTAATAATTGAGTAAAGCATAACTTTGTGAAAAAATTTTGAAGCATATTTCTTTCTCTCTACCTGATCTCCCCAGAATTTGAAAGCTATTTGTGAGTTGATTAATGGCAATATAGTTATTTGTACAAGTTCAATAAGAATTTTTTTTAACATTATTAGAAATACTAGCTATTTTACCAAGGTTTGGACAGGAATGGTATTTTTAGATATAAACAGAATGCTTTGAGGAATTGATATCTATAAAGAGCCTATAAAAAGTCTTTTGGAAAGACTTTGGTACCTTTTTAGCTGCTCTGCAGAGCTCCTGACCTGTGGTAGGTAAGGAAGGTTGCTCACTATTAGGCCCAGAAACCCAAAGTTATTTGGAATCTCAAAGAAAGAAATTCACTCAATTAATACAGGTATTTGCAGGTTCAAATCCTTGGTTGGACTTGAGAGGCTTTTTAAAATGTCTAATCTGAGATTTCTTATGGAAAAAGTTACAGCAAAGCCAATTTAACAAGACCCTATATGGTAAATAATTATTCTTGCTGCACTTTATGCAAATAAAAACAAAATTGGTCCTACTATGATTTATCTTTGGGGAAAATGGAGGACTCAAGAGAGAAAATTATGTTTCAAAGGTAATTAAAGTACAACTGTTATTATATTTTCCATGTTCATTAATTTTTGAGTTGTAATTATTTTCTACAACTTGGATTGCATTCTGATTTCTTTTCTGACCACGAGTCTCCACACTAATGTTTTAAATTTTTCTTCCATTTTTCTGACTTGGACTCAATAAAATTGCTACAACCTTTTTCCGGGGCCCTTCAAACTGAAGTTTGAGGGACCCAAGAGACTCAAAAAAGCTATACTTGCTGTAAAAGAAGCGTTCACTGTATTTTATACATCCCTGCCTCACGTTCGCTATATTTTATGAATTCTTAGTATTTTAAATTCTACCTCAGATCCCGTAGGACGAGGCACATTCCTTTGCCAGGTAGTGACTGTGATTGTAAAATTATACAATGTTTTAAGCAGTGTGTGTACTTAGAACTTTGTTAAGCTTTTGTTTATCCCAATTGCCATGTTGGCTTCTTCTGCTTCTGCAACGGGGTGTAAATGTTAAGCAATAAGCCCCTTCTGGACATTCCTTTGCTTAGATTATGGTAGACTCTGTGGCACTAGCCACTCTCCTGGTGGGCTCTGTGATGTTTCCAACCTCCTGCTCACATGCCAAAGTTAATTTACGCCCAGTGACTGTGTAAACTTAGCTTATCTGGCATTCCACTCTGCCAGTTTAGCCATTTCCCGTCAATCACAGGCAACTGAGCTCGAGCCCACCAAAACCAAAAACACACCAATCAATCTCAAGCGCCTCTGTCACTTGACATCACCGTGGACCTGATTGGGGACTAATTATGCAAGGTCCGCGGACTTCGGTTTCTACATCATGACCTCTTTTGATTGGTTAATGTTGTAAGCCTAGGAAAAATCAGTCACGCCCAGCCCCTCCCTCTGTAATTGTGCAAAAAAATTGCTTGCTATACTGGATTGGGGCTCTCAAGCTCAAGCCACTGCGTCGGTTTCAGTTTGTGAGCCCAGACTCAAGCCTGAATAAAGACTCTCGTGTGTTTGCATCGGAGCTGGCTCTTTGGTGATCTCTCAGATTTAGAATTTTGGGTTTAACAGTTTATTTTTGTGATACAGATGAGAAAAACTTGTTAGATATTGCTGACTTCTTCCTCTGGAACCAAAGATGCTATGAGTCTTAACATATGGACATGTCAACTGCTGGCTCTCCAGACTCTAAGGAAACTGGTTTATTGACTGCTCCAGACATTAACCTTTGTTTTTCTTCTGTCTCCATAGAAATGTCTCTTATTAATGATCTGTTTATCTGCATCATTATAGAGACCCAGCTCACCCTGCCTTCTGACCCAGAAAATGGAAACTTCCTGCCTTTGTCCCCTGAGATCAGGCATTCAGAGATTTTTACTTCTCAAATGCTAGGCAGGACCTAGGTCCATAAAATCAGTAGTAAGCTGTTACAGAGGATAGACCACTGCCCTTCTGCAATTTCTTAAGATTGAGGAGGATTATATATCTCTCAGGCAATAATGAGATAGTGATCCAGCAGGACTAGTTTCCAAAATGAAGATCACAAGCCAGAGGAGACAAACTGAGACCAAGATGGCTTGAGAAGTGAGCTCTGCAATCCTCCTTGCCCATTGTATACCAACTGCAATGCATTAGCATGCTAAAAGATAATCTCACTAGCATTAACCCCCCCCTTACTATTACCATGGCAACTTCTAGAAGGTGTCCTAAATGGCTTAAAAAGGGGAGGAATCTTCAATTCCTGGGACTCCTCCTCTCCCCTTTCCCAGAAAATCCAAGAATAATTCACCCCTTGCTCAGTATATAATCATGAGATAGCTATAAAAATAGTGATGTATGATTTCGGCTCCCCCTACAGATTATCCCAGGATGCTCTACCTATGGAGTAGCCTGCTCTCTGTCATTTCGATAAACTTACCTTTACTATCCAGCTGAAACCCCAGTGATGCAAGTAGGCTGCTCTGCCTTTGGGGTAGCCATATGCCCATTTCTCTATTTACTTAAGAAACTTAGATCTCATCTCCTAATATGGCTAGTACTCGAATGCCTTCCTGCATGAAGCCAAGAAACCACTTGGTCTTTCAGGCCAAACTTCAGTAGGGGTCAACCTGCAACAGTAGTTTCAAAGTTATTTTTAGTAGTTTAAAATTTGAAAGTTATAGCCGGGCTCGGTGGCTCAGCCTCTAATCCCGTACCTTTGGGAGACTGAGGTGAGTGGATTGCCTGAGCCTGCAGGTTCGAGACCCGCCTGGGCAGGCGAGACCTCATCTCTACAATAAATCAAAAAATTAGCTGGGCATGGTAGCACGTACTTGTAGTTCCAACTACTTGGAAGGCTGAGGTGGAAGGATCGCCGGAGCCCAGCAGGTCAAGGCTGCGGTGGCCGGGAGCTGCCACTGGACTCCAGTCTGGGCGACAGAGTGAGACTCCAACTCAAAAAAAAAAAAAATGAAAGTCATTTGTAAGTATGTTAGAATACTAAACCATTAATCAAGTTTAATAACACTGAAAGGAGGGAACCTTAGAAATTTAGAATATAAAGTAGCTATTTTGAATCAGCACAACAGTTTTGCTTAGACCTCACCCCTACACGGCCTTTTACCCTACAATCATTGACAAGAACAGTACTTTAGTTTTAGAAACCGGTGATTACACAGAACCCCTTAAGCATGTCCAGTCTTGCTAACAATCTATCTTTCAGGCAGTCATATTGATACATTGCTATTGGTTTCCCATGACAACTTCCAGCACATCACCAGGAGGCATGTTTATTGGTATATTTTTATCATAGGACCATGATAACCTCCAGCCCACCACCTACGATCATGAGATGCTGAAGCCTGACGATGTCAGGATACTAGATTCATGTGACTACCATGGAAACCAAAGAATACAACTCTGGACCTTCCTTTTAGCCCAGACTTTCTCCAGATCTAAGCCCCCCTTTGCTTTAAAGTCCCTTAAATACTCCTAGTTTGCAGCCTTCCATGCTTCATTCACCTGAGTTCTGGCCCCCTTTCCATCTGTGAAAGGTGAATAATAAACTTTTTTTCCTTCTAAACTTTCCTCTCTGTTGCAATCTTGCATTATTCCCCCACCACCACTTTGACTCAATTTACCCTTTCAAATATGTTTGGCATCTTATTTTTATATGGTATACAAAAACTAAATATATTTAGATCTGTTGGTAAACAATAATTTGAGGAAACATCTTCCTAATGGTTTTTATTTACAAATGCTGATATAAAAGAGCTCAAAATTCCTCACTTCCTAGGGTTTTTACAAGAAATTAGGGTTACTAAGGGTTGAAATTATAGTTAACACATATAATTAAAACTATTAGATATAAGAGCAAAAAATTCTGTAAACAGAATATATAATAAAAGCAAAATATGCTGTTGATGAGGAAAAGTATACAGGCATGAAAATATGTTTGCTAAAAAAATTACCTAGTTTAAAAGTTACTTAAGGATTGTATTAAATTGAAGAAATACAAATACAGATAAAACTAAATAAACCTAAAAGATTAGAAAAATAAATAATTAAAAAATTATAAGTGATTATAAAAGGTTTGTGAAAAGCTGAGCAACATGGTGAGACCTCATCTCTACAATAAAAAAAAAAATTAGCTGGGCATGATAGAGCACAACTATAGTTTCAGCTACTTGGAAGGCTGAGGCAGAAGGATCGCCTGACCCTAGCAGGTCGAGGTTGTGGTAACCATGAGCATGCCACTGCACTCAAGCTCAGGCAACAAACTATGACTTCAAACTCAAAAAAATAAAATAAATAAAATAAGGTTTTATGTATTGATAATATACTAATACAAATGTAAAACTTGTTTTTCTCTTTTGAACAAAAATTTCATGTAATATTAATATTTTATTCATCTTTTGAGTAACCTGCAGTAAAACAAAGGCAGAGGAGAATGGGGAAGGGAAGGGGAAGGGGAGAAGGAGGGGAAGACGGAAAAGGGAGACAGATTGTGGTCTTATACTGTCTTTTTCGGGTCTTTATATTGTTTAGAAAACTGAGTCTCCTTTCTGTCAAAGACTATGAAGTTTTGGTTTATAAATTATTTAGATTATCACTTTGAGTAAATAAATTAGTATTATTTCAAAATGACCAGTGATCCTATTTGAAGTAAATGTTTTAAAACTTTGATATACCTGACAGCCTTGCTAAAATCAATTTTCAAATTCAAAATTAACTATTTTTTGACCTCAAACTAACTTTGGAATTTACAGAGGGCCTCTTCAATATCCAAAAGAGAGATAAGCAAGATTGATATGTAAAATTACAGGGGAAGCACTGTGAGATAAACAATGATGTGTAACCTTCTTCAACTTACATTTTTATAATGTCATGAATATGTGTCCCCAAATTGTATGGGATTCCTAAAATTCTGATTTATCTGTATATACTGTCACTCATAATTTTGGTTATTATGCTAAGTTCTTACAGGCCACCGAAACAGTCACATTTCCTTGTCAATTGTGTCTTTAAGTATGAACATTTTAGATAGTTTCTGTAGTTAATTGCTTAATTCTAATGGAGTTTTATAAAACTCTTCACAAGCAAGAAAAAATTTTAGAGTATTATTTCTTCAAGCAGATTGATGAAAATGATAAAAAGGACTTAGATAAGCAATCCAAATACAGGTTTCTAAGAACTTTGGGATAATATCATTCTGATTGGGCAAGAATTTCCAGAATTTTAGTAAACAGAATGACTGGTTTATAAAACTGCTAACCAGAGCAGAACAAGAATTAACTGAAAATCAAGAAAACACATTGCCAATTTTTTTTGTCAAATCAACCAGCACTAAAACTGTTTAGATATGAAATTTTAGTGAACTCCTCAGTCAAATCAAATTACTTATGATAGCTCATCTAATAAACAGTGCTATGCACCTGGATTGGAGACACAAAATTGGTATTTAATATAATATATTTCTAATATTAAATCTGGGCTTATGGAGAGCTGGACATCCTCCTGGTCTTTCATAAGAAGTCCTTAAAGATCCTATTACTAAAACCTGCTCAAGTCTGAAATCCCAGCACTTTGGGAGGCTGAAATGAGGGGATTGCCTGAGTCCATGGGTTTGAGAACAGCCTGGGCAATTTGGCGAAACCTCATCTTTACAGTAAATCAAAAAATTAGCCAGCTGTTGTAGCGCACGCCTGTGGTTCTGGCTACTTGGAAGGCTGAGACAGAAGGATAGCCTGAGCCCAGCAGGTTGACGCTGGGGTGGCTGTGAACGTGCCACTGCACTCCAGCCTGGGTGACAGAGTGACTCCAACTCTAAAAAGGAAAAAAAAAACCTGTGTTCTATGACTCACCATGGAAGAGATAAAATATTCCAGATATATATATGCACATGCAGATATATATGTGTGTGTGTGTGTGTGTGTGTGTGTGTGTGTGTGTGTGTGTGTGTATGTGTGTGTATCTGGACATCCACCTGGTTTTTCATAAGAAGTCCTTATGATAAAAAACTGATAAATGATCAGTCCTTAAATGACATATATATACACACACATACATACATATGTAATAATAAACCAATAAAAATAGCATTAGGCAAATCTAACTATGTATTGTATTGTACTGCATTTTATTTTATTTTAGATTTCTGGGGTACATGTGAGGACTTCTTACATAAGTAAATTTTGTGTAGGTGATATTTGGGCTTCTAGCAGGCCTTCTCCCCACTGATAGTGAATCTGGTACCCAGCGTATTGCTATGTGCCTCCCATCCCTCCTCGACACTCCCTCCCCTAGCAACATCCAGCATCTGCTGATCTCACATGTGACTAGCAATCAGGGCCTGAAAAGCTAACAATATTGACTGGGTTGCTGTGGTCAAATTTACTGTAGGTAAATGACAATCAAATCCACTTTCAGTGAAAAACATAAGTTGAAGCCTTATAAAATTGTTGCTGGAAGACCCATGCACCTAATAGAAACTCATGTGTCTTCTGCTACTAAGTTGTGATGTGACTAAATGCTACAAGGATATAATGAATTGTGCCAAAGTGTATTTTCCCCAGGTAAAGAAATCTTTTCATGGTACACTGAGGATAATCAAAGCCTTCAAAATCTAGAACCTAGAGATTGGTTCTTACGATAACTACATCAGAGAAAGACTGCCCTTGCTGCCTACAACACAGCAAAACTTTGGAACTTTGAAACCTGAGTTTGTAATCTCATGACTAGAAGTGTTCCCCTGGCCAGGTTCAGTAGCTCAAGCTATAATCCCAGCACTTTGGGAGGCAGAAGCAAGAGGATTGCCTGAGCCCAGGTGTTCCTCCAGACTCTTGGAACTGTACATCCATTGGAGACCTTAAGGTAAAGCTAACCGGGGAATTCTTCCCATTAACTGAGGGCAATCTAGGCATTCTTAGATAGCTGCTTCCCAAGATCATGGATCAAGATTTTTCTGCTATCATGAAACACTTATCTCAGTTTTTTTCTTGCGTATGCATCTATGAACAGTAGAACTAAAAGGAGGGTCTTTTGTGTGCACTCATGAATTATACATGTATTTGTGGATGATTTTACACAGACATACTTATCCCTTGATAGATGGATGATGAAGAGCTAATGTAGGGAAGAAATTTTAATGGTGCATTTGTTGCTTTATAACTATTCAGAATAGTCTAGTCCTCTTAACTTATATTATAAATTAAAGATAACATTGCCAACAAAATAGATTAAAATAAACACTGCCAGGAGACCTTGACTTTGTGGGTAAGCATCACTTGTTAGGTCTTTTTATCCATGATTTAAAGTAATAAAGTCGCAATTAGAACTTTATCCCTCATAATCGGTTCTATACCAAACTACTGCACAGGCTATGATTATACAAGAGATTTAGAATTGTTCTAGACTTCTTATTGAATAAACAGAGAAATATCTGTGCATTTGCTGACACTCCTTGTTGTACATGGGGGAATAGGTCGAGTTTTATAGCAATTCGGAAGATTAATGATCACACTGCTTGTTTAAAATGAGTAGTCTCTTTATCTAGCTCCTTTTTTGATCTATTTGATTTTA